GGGGGGGGGGGGGGTCTGTGCTGACAGCCGTCACCCAAACAGTGCCCGAGGCCTTCCCTATCGGCTGTGTTGAGAGCAGTGAGGTTTGTGTGCGCTGACAGCCCTGACCCCCCCCCACCCCACGTGTCCAAATCTGCCCTGGGGGGAGCTGAGCGCTCCTCACCTTTAAACAAATCCTTTGTGCTGCGGTTGTTTGGGGCTGAAGGGCTGAAACGTTCCCCCCCCCCCTTTGGTCAGAAGGGTGCACAGCTGGAGTTGGTGGCACCTTCCAGGCAACGCCGTGCTGCTTCCAGAGCTGTTTGTTGACAAAGAGCCGCTGTTTCATGTGATGTGGGGACAATGAGGGACAATGGAGCAGAAATCTGCTGAGCGAGGCGCTGCTGGGGGGGCTGGGGGTCCTCATGGGTTCTTATTGGAGTCACAGAGGGGGGTGGTGGGTGATGGGCTGAGCGCCTTTTGCTGCGAGGTGTGCGTGGATTCTGTGTGTGCAGCACGAGCGGGGGGTTGGTATTAAAGGAGAGCAGGAGCTGTGAGTGCCCAGCCCAGCACAGCCCGTCCTGAACGCATGGACAACAAAGAGAAAATAATCCAACAAAGCAAACAAAAGGGGTGAGCTTCGCCCAGACTGACTCTGAATTTTCAGTGGCGTTGGTTGAATCTGGAGCAGATCGTGATCTGGATTTCATGTGGGGTTTCCTGTGCTTCCCAGAGCACAGCGGGTGAGAGGGGAGACGGGGGGAGGACAGAAGGGGAGCAGCTTTGAGCTCCTCCAGCCTCTGCTTCCCATCGCTTCCTGCACCTGTTCTGACCTCACACACCTGCCTGGGGTGCACACAACTCAGGCACTCAGATCCCCCCTCTCTCCCAGTGCTGTTTTCAGAGCAGAGCAGCTGTTTGTGCCACAGCACAGACCCAGGAGCAGTGCTGGGTACCAGGCCTGGGGCTGGGAGTGTGAGCAGCGCTGCCCTGCGATGCGCTGAGCCACGTCGTCAGCCCGGAGTAATTACAGCTGTTTTATTTCCATGCTGTGAGCAATACGTGTAAGTCTCCACTACATCCTCAAACAAAAGCAAAACAAAACACACACACACAAAAAAAAAACCAGCAGCAGCCGTCCCGGCTTCCTGCAGGAGCCTTCGAAACCTCCAATTAACTGCAGCTGAATTGGGCTGCGGAGCATTTATGGGGCAGTTTGTGCTGTGGAAAAAGAAAAGCTGTGGGAGGGAGTGGGAGCCGTGCAGATTCCATCCTTGGGACGGATGCATCCTCAGCTGGGATTTAGGATGCTGACTTTGGGAGGACTCTGACCAGGCTGGCGCAGCTCCTGGGGCTCGCTTGACTTCAGGGCTGCCCTGGGACGAGGTAAGCTGTGAGCAGGATGGGGAGCTCAAAATGCTCTGGAATCGAATTGCCTCTTAGTAACGAGTGCTGTCTGCATTCAGGGTTATGTCAGTTTCCCTAATCCCATCTGGAGTGCAGGGCTCCCATCTCCACGTGCTTCCCGTGTTTCCGTTTTGGGGCTCTTTGTTTGCTGTGCTCCAGTCTGGGCTTTGTGGCAGTGCTGGGGCTGTGTGAGCAGAGCACAGCAGGAGCAGGGTGTGTAACTGGGCATCCCACAGCATCTGCTTGCTGGGAGAGAAGGAATGGAGCAGAACCCATCGTGTCTGACAAGTGGCAAAAGAGAAGAGAAAGCCCTGCTGAGGTGAAGGCAGTGTGGGGCTCGTGGGTCAGAGCAGCTTTCCTACAGCAGGGAGGTGGAGGGGGGCAGTGGGGAGGGCAGTCAGTGCTCAAAGTTGGGGTGGGGGTCTGGAAGCTGAGCGTTTCCCTGCTCTCCTATTTGTCATCCCCATTGTGTTGCCTCGTGCTGTGCTTTGCTGTAAGCCCACACTCCTGAAAGCAGCAGAGAAGTAACCAAAGTTCCTACAGGATCCATCTGCAGATGAGTGGTTGGGCAGTGGAGATAAGGAGTGGTGAATGTAACCTGGTGGCTCCACCTGTGGCACTCATTGAGCAGCTGAGCTGCAAACAGCCGGGGGGGTTTGGGAGGGGGTTGGGGGCTGCAGGAGGGTCGGGTGCAGCTCAGCTGCCCGGTGCTCCCTTCTGTGCTATGGGGCAGGTGGTGTTTGGGGAGCAGTGTTGGGAAACGAGCTGCCTTCTCTTTATCAGCACGGAAACCAACCTGGGCTGCTTTTCATTTGCATCCTTTTGTTCGGTGGGGTTGGGGCGGGTTTCGGCCTCCCGGTGCTTTGTGCCCCGCCGTAATTAGGGAGAGCTTTACGAGCCATGGATTAAATGAGCAGCTGTTCGACCTCGCAGTGTCACCTGCAGGAGCTGCCTGTGTCGCAAGTGTGGGCTGTTTGTTCCCAGCTGGGATCATTGGGCAAGAGAAGAGGGGGAGAACCACAGGGTCATTAAGGTCAGGGGAAAAAAGCCCTCAGACCCCCATGGCCAACCCTGGTCTGTCCCACTGTGCCCACTTACCCAAGTGCTGGAACATCTGTGGGCACAGTGATTTTCCCCCCGTGCTGCTGCTGGCTGCTCTTAGGATGCTCAGCCTGACCTCCCAGCCCCGTGCCACTGTTGGGTTTGGCCGTGCTGTGCCTCCCAGCCTGCCCAACAGGCACAGGGCTGGCCTGCGTGTCGCCATGCCTTGTGCTGGTTTAGATACCAGTCTTAATTGGGGCCCAGGCTCTGCTGCCTAATTACTGTTTTCACTGCTGGATCGCCTTGCCTGGGATTGCGCTTGAGTCACTGCATTGGGAAAGCTGATGCGACGCGCAGCAGAGCCGGTCCCACCTGGGCCATCCCACACCCATTGCAGGTGGGGTGAGGATGTGTCCGTGAGGATCTGCGCCCATAGCATCACCATCATCATCATCATCATCATTGGCAGTCAGAGCCGGATGTGAGCCCAGCACAGCAACTGGAGGCCGTGGAAAGAGGCAGCACCGCTTTGAATCAGATCTGATGGGTGATGAAAAACCCTATGGCCCAAACGCTGGGGGCTTTTGATGGAGCTAAAAAAGAAAAAGCAGCACAAAAATACTGGGTTAAATAAAAAACGCAAAATAATGGGTGCTCAGGACTGCGTTTGGTGGCAGCACGGGGCGGTCCTTGTGGTTCCCATTGGGTTCCCTGTGTGGTTTGTGTGAGGCACTGTGTGCCCTCTGCAGGGGGAGAGCTGTGCCCTTATGGGCTGCTGCATCTCAGTGTGCCCTACAATCCCACTGCTCCTTCTGACTTTGTTACGGATGCAGCCCGTGGTTGGGCTGCAGGAAGGGAGCTCCTCACCCCATCCCTCCACGCAGAGCTGCTCCGAGGCAGATGAAGCAGCGGTGTGATGGTGTACGTTGGGCACATCACACACAGAGCTATTTTTAGGGATATTAAGCCCATAATCAGCCTGGCCGGTCAGGAGCCGATTCTCTTCTCCTCTCCCTGCTTAGTCACACCAGGGTCAGTGGTGCCACAGAGGTGCACACAGCAGCAGCGGGGCTCCGTGGCATCCATGCACAGCCCTCACTGTAAGGCTGCAGGAAACCCCTATGTGCACAGGCAGCTGCTGCTCTGCACCCTGTGGGGACGTTCCCTGCTCCCACCGTGGCTCTGTGCATCTCTGCTGGGAGCAGAGCTGAGCCCAAATACCCAAAGCACACTGGGGTGCAGCACAGCCAAGGCTGAATCCACGTTGATGTTTCTGATTCTTCCATTTCAGAGCAGCAAAAGATTCTTTCTGAGCTGGGGAGGTGGATTTGTGACACATCTCCGTGCGGGCTGGGTGGGGATGTAAGAGGCAAAGCATGCAGCTGTTCTTGTAATCCCTAATTTATAATGGCAATTGTTGGCCCTCCACCTTTCCTTGCTTAAAAACAAATTCCAGAATGCGTTATTTACCCTCTAATGATCGCAGCCCACTTTTTGATTACTCAATTTCCCGTGGCTGGAAGCAGTTGTGCAGGGTTGGGACAGGGGGGTGCTGAGCATCTCCCCATTCACCCTTCCCCCATTGACCCACAGAGGGTCTGCGTTGGGTGCAGTGTTCCATCCAGTCATGGTCCCTCCTGAGAGTCTGATAACTCATGCACAGAGTTTCCCTTGAGCACATTGGTTGGGCTGTCCCAGCAGCTCCCTCCCTGCAGTGCAGCAGGTTTTGTTTCCACGAGGAAAATGTATGGCCAACCTGCTGTTGTTCTTCTTCTTACAGATGTTCTCAAACAATGATGAAGCTGTGATCAACAAGAAGCTTCCCAAAGAGCTGCTGCTGCGGTAAGACCTTCCCTAAGTCAGTGCTCAGTGCTGTCAGTGTGATGCACCAGCCAAGCTCAGGTCCTGGCAGAGCTGCAAGCAAAGAGAGCACGGTGTGCTCCAGCACTTTGTGCTGAGTGTTGGTTTGCTGGGTGCCTCTTTTGTGGGTGGGAGAGGTGTAGGGCTCAACGGGTTCCTTAATGAAAGTGGATGGAGGGAGCAGTGTGGCACTCTGACCCAGCAGGCAGGGATGGGGAGCAGATGTGGTTGGGATGGGGACAGAGGAGCAGCATCATGGGGAGCACAGGGAGTCAATGGGGTGAGGAGGTGGGGGTGTAGGGGTGGCTTTGGTGGCCCTGTGGCACTGCTGTGCCACACGTGGCACCTGGGCAATAGGAGGAGATGGAGTTTATAAACGTTAAGGTTCATACGTAATGGTTTGGAGAGCTGGGATCCACTGTTAGCATACTGTGCAAATTAATCAGCGTGGATTGACAGTGCGGCCTTTGAAAGAGAAACTTGGATGCGTTTATCTGCAGGAATCTCCTGTAAATGTGTCACTGTCTGTGAGACAAAGACGTGTGTGTCTGAGCAGCACTACAGCGTGGTGCCTTGTTCCCCAATTTGTTCATTCTGCAGATGGCATCGATGCCTCATGTATGTGGTTGCAAAGGAAGAAAGCTGTGCTTGAGCAAAATAAAGAGGGGGTGGATGTGAAAGAGGGGAACAGTGGCCTTTGTCCCACCCTGAGCTCCAGAAATGTGTGGCTCCAGCAGTGGCTCCTTGCCTGGGAGCTGGGCTGGGTGTGGGAGGGGTGTGGGGGGTTCCAGAACCTCGCCAGCCCCTCTCTGGACCCCTCAGGTCCTGCCTGGGTTATGGTTGGGTTAGGAGCTCCTGCTCCTGGCTGGGGTCTCTCCCTGCTGCCAGGGAGGTGCTGACCCTCAGCTGGCTGCGGTGGGAAAGTGAGGAGTCCCAGGCAGTCCCTGATGGATGAAGGGGCTGAAAAGTGTTCTGACTGCATCACATTCTGGTTGTGCTGCTGGAGCCATCCTCACCATGCTGAGCTGCTTCACCATTACATAGTTCACCTGATGCAGCACCAGATCTGAGTCCCAGCTGGGAGCACTCAGCCCTCCCCTCCGATCCCCATCCAACGGTGGAGTTGCCTTGGGATGATCCAGGAGGAATTCTGCTGTCCCACCCTTATGACAACACCCAGAGCTGCTCAGCAGAGTGCCATGCAGGCTCCCTTCCACCCCCAGTGCCACTCGCCAGGTTGGCTTTCCTTGAGCTGAGTTCAAGTGAACACAAAGGTTCCCTTTGCTTTGTTGTACCCCATGCAGGTTGCTGGGAAGAAACCCAGCTCTCATCGCACGCCGTAGCTGTGATGAAGGAGGGCTGCAGCTCAGTGGCTGCTGAGCCCCACGTGCAGCTCCTTGGTGGGGTTTTGGGGGTTTTGCAGCACTCCCCAGCTGTGTCCCTGCAGTGCTCCCAGGAGCTCAGCTCAGCGCTGTGCTGCGGGATGGAGCTGTGCTGCTGCTCTCCTGGGGCTGTGCCAATGGCTGAGGCTGAACTGACCAAAGTGCAGAGCGGAGCCACGGCCGCTGCTGGGAGCAATGTGTGAGGCTGGGCTTGCTGAGTCACTGCTCCACTCCTGAGCCAACGTCAGAGCAGTGCAGAAAACACAGAGGAATGCTCCCTGAGTGCTTTCGGAGGCAGGAGTCCCCAAGCTCTGTCTGTGAGCACACGGCTCGGAGGGGAAGGGCAGGGAGGATGGAGGGGCTGTGAATCCCTGAAATGAGGAGCAGGCAGAAAGGTTTGCATCCCCAAAAGGAGGAGCCCTGGGCCCTGCTGGAGCTCCCAGGTGTTGCACTGGGAAGCTGTGCAGTGCTGTGTTGGCATCCCCTGTGCTGGGCGTAGGCTGGGAAGGGAGGAGCAGGAAGCAGGAAGGAGTTGGGCCAGGACCCAAAGCACTGACAGGAGGATGAGGAGGTTATTAATAGCCTGGGATTTCCATGGAGAAAGTGATTTTTATGAAAGTGCAGAAATTGAGCCCTGTTATTGGCTTTGCTGCTGTTCCCGTGGACTTGGGGTGGGTTTTTGTGTTCCTCCGGTGGGAATCTGGGGTAAAAGCAGGAATTTTCCCTCGCTTCTCCCATTTCCCTCAGCTTTCCTTGTATTGTTGTGCACTGACATTGTGCTGAATGCACCCTCAGTGGGCACACACAAACAGCATTTAATCCAAGGGAGGGCTGGGTGAGAAGTTGAAGTTTTTGGGGCAGTGGGGCATTGCTCTCAGAGTTCCCCTTGGATGCTGTGTTATCAGGAAATTACTGCTCGCTCCAACCCCCTTTTTTTTTTTTTTTCCCTCTCTGTCTCCCACATGTTCTGCCTTGTAAATGCAGGTAACCACAAAGATCTCTTTTCCATTTCCATTGCAGAATTTTCTCTTTCCTGGACGTGGTCACCCTGTGTCGCTGTGCTCAGGTCTCCCGGGTAAGAACCTCCTCCTGCTGCAGGGCCACCCCAGCACCCACACAGGGCTTTGTGCTGGGGAGCTTTGCACACTGACTGTTCCAACTGCTGCCTTGTAAAGTCGGTGCAGAGCTGCAGCACTCCGTGTTCCCTCCGTCACGCAGTGAAATGCCTTGAGATTTGCACCCACTGATAAGTGCCCTTTACCTCTGGAGCTGCTGGGCGTCCTTTTGGCAATAACCAGACCTTAAAACAAACACCCGTAACAGGTTTATACTGCAGGGAGTCAATGGGCTCTCACTGTTCTCTCTGCTGGTGTAAGCCTGCCTGGCTTGCACAAGAGCTGCTGTTGTGCTGGAGGTGCAGCCCAGTGCTCACAATGGGTGTGCTATAAAGATACGCCTATGCACAAACATTGGTGCACTCTTTCTTAACGACGGACTGATGGCTGTGATGAGATCCAGCTGTTGACTTTGCTGATGTAATTACAACTTTGAATATGGCACTGTGCTGAAAACCTTCTTGGTTTACTAAGGGTAAAATAACTGATTGCTGGTTCTTGCATGGGCAAGATGGGGGTGGGACAGCCCTGGAGCTGTGGGTGCCCCATTCCTGGGGGTGCCTGAGGTCATGGGTGGGCTCTGGGCACCTGACCTGGTGGAGGCAGCCAGCCCATGGCAGGATGGGGGGCTTCAACCCAACCCAGCTGGTGGTTCCATGAGCTCTGAGGTCCCATCCAACCCAAACCTGTTGATGGTTCTCTGAGGTCCCATCCAACCCAACCTGTTGGTGGTTCCATGAGTTCTGAGGTCCCATCCAACCCAACCCAGCTGGTGGTTCCATGGGCTGTGAAGTCCCATCCAACCCAAACCTGTTGGTGGTTCCATGGGCTGTGAGGTCCCACACACACTGTGCTTACAATGAGCACTGACCAAGCTGTTCCTGTTGGCTCTAATTGTGTTGTCATCTGAGGCAGAACGGTTGTTTCTAAAAGGAACAAGCTGTAACTGGGTCCCCCCTGTTGGGTTGTTGGTATTTTTCGTATTAACCAGACATTTACATTTTTTCCTCCAATAAAGGCATGGAATGTTCTGGCCCTGGATGGCAGTAACTGGCAGCGAATTGACCTGTTTGATTTCCAGAGGGATATTGAGGTATAATTAAGTGACATACAAACCCATTTTTCTTGTTGAAATGTAATTACAGCCTAGCACAGATTAATGCTCCCAGCACAGCCCTTCCTGCCTTCCCCGGAGACAGAAATCATTAATTTCAGTTCGTGGCCCCGGGGAGTCGTTATGGGCTCACAACCCATTCAGCTTTTGAAAATGGATGGAATTCCATATCTGTACCACAGCATAAAGGATGGCAATAGGAGGGACGTTGTGAAGGCAGAGGTGGAGCAGCTGTGCTGCTGGGAGAGCTGTGCTGCTTCTGGAGCACGACTTGCACATCTTCCCTGTCTCCAGTACCCAAACCTGCAGTGCTGGGAGGCTGCCTGGGGTCAGAGCCCTTCCCCATAGGTGCAGTGTTAGTTCTCCCCTGCTGTTGTTCTGATCTGTTGGATGTGGATGGGGTGCTGTTGTCACGCTGTTTTAAACAGAGAAGTTGCATTTATAGGGATAAGAGACCCCAACGCAGCACCAAAATCCCTCTTTTCTTCCTGGAACATTTATATTCCCTTGAAAACCTTTTAGAGAAGGGAGGTAAGGAGTGTCTCATTCTGACTCTGTGCAGAGGCTGGTATCAGGTGGATGGTAACAGCAGCGTGGGTGAGTGGGGAGGTGCAGATGGTGTTTGTGGAGGAAGGAGTTAAAGCAGCCTGTGCTGTCCCTGCAGGGCTGGGCTCAGCCCCTCAGTGCTGCAGGAAGCACACACTGTGCAGCACACGTTGTGATTGCTGTTCCTGATAACAGATCCTAATCTCCCAGGTGCCCTGTGCCTTCTGCCCCATGGAAGCACTGCATCCCACAGCCAGAGCTGCCCTCTCCGTGGGGCAGGGGGAGGGTGCTCACCTTCTGGGTGCTGTGAACATCTCCACCAGCACCCTATGTCAGATGTGTTCCTCCATGAGCACCAAATTCCCCTTTTAAGACAAAACACTGCCACGCGTGGCACGGAACCTCACGGCACCTGCTGGGCTTAATGGTGGCCTAAATTATGTTTGCTCTGAAGCTGTGTCACTCTGTCCTCTGACACAAACTCCATCTGTAGTCAGACTTACTCTGATCCTCCTGTTGAAGAGTAGGAACTCATAGGCTTGCTAGAGGAGCTGCAGAGATTCTTGTCCTGTTTCAGCCCTTCCTGGAGCCATAGGGCACTCAGTCCCACGCCGCCCCAGCTGTGCCCCAGCTGTTCCCAGAGCCCCAGATGTTCCCCAGTTGTGCCCCCAGCTGTTGCACATCCCATAGAGGTGGGCACCAGATGTTCTGATACACAGCTGCACTGGAGCTGCTGTCCCACTTCCAGCTGTGCGCCTGGCCTGGTGTTGGATTCTTGATTGATTCCCTGATTGAAAAAAGATTCTAGGAAAACATTTTCAGTGCTGCAAGGCTCCTCAGTGCCTCCCAGTGCTTGGGGAATGGAGAAGGGTTCCTGTTCTGTGGGGACCAGCTGTAGGATAAAGCAGGGGACAGCAGCTGGGATTGCTGCACGCTGTACCCATGTTCTCTCAGGCTTTCCCTGCTCAGCCCACCTGCAGCCCTGGGAGCTTCCCGAGCTCCATCACTGCCCTGTGGGCTGTGCTCTGTCCATCTTCAGAAGCTGAGTGGTTCCCCTCTCCCTGCTGCAGGCTGTCCTAAGGGAGCTTTGTTCTCCACCTGCCATTTTAGCTAGAATAACAAACTGTTTAAGTACACAACTCTCCATTGGTGCCGTGGGCTCTTTGGGATGCTAACATGACTCCTTCTGTCCTCACCAGGGCCGAGTGGTGGAGAACATCTCGAAGAGGTGTGGGGGGTTCCTGAGGAAGCTGAGCCTGCGTGGCTGCCAGGGAGTTGGGGACAACGCACTGAGGTAGAGCCATGGCACAGAGGGGCCCTGCAGCCCTGGGGGTGGGTTTTGGGGGCAGCAGAGCAGAGGATCTGCAGTGCTTTGTCTGACATAAAGCACTCAGAACAGTGATGTCTGCATTCCTCATTGATCACCTCACCTTCGCACGTTGTCCTCAGGGCTGAATGACGAAGAGTGGGAGATCCCAGGGCGAGTTATGGGCCAACACAAATTATCCATTTCATTCTGTGTTTATTTCTTTTATTTGAGCCCATCTGGTCGAGTCGTAGCTGCTGCACTCACTAAACGCAGCAAACACTGGGAAACCCATTGGCTGACAAGAGCTTTGTTTTGCCTTTCCTTTCCTAAAGGACGTTTGCACAGAACTGCAGGAACATCGAAGTGCTGAACCTGAACGGCTGCACCAAAATCACAGATGCGTGAGTGCCAGCTCCTCTCCATTTCCCCCTTATCCTTTTCTGTACTGTGCATCACGAGGAGTGTGCAGGGCTCGGGGTAAACCCATCACACTGCTGTTCTCTGCTGTTCTCCTCCAGCACGTGCACCAGCCTCAGTAAGTTCTGCTCCAAGCTCCGGCACCTCGACCTGGCATCCTGCACCTCCATCACCAACCTGTCCCTGAAGGCTCTCAGGTAGGAGGGCACGGCCAACCTGACCCAAAGGTGCTGGGGTGGGAGGGCAGAGGGGGCTGATGGTGGCACTGCGTGGTCCTGCAGAGGAGATGGGAGCTGAGCTGTGGCTGTGCAGAGTTCAGATCCCTGCAGGGTTTTGGGGATTCCAGCTGACTCTGTCTGTCCTGGTGGTTGTTAGCAGAAGTGTTACGTTGCGTTCAGGACTTGAACCCAAAAAGTCACCCTGCCTTTCTTAAATGCTCCTCCTGTGCTTCCAGCCATCTCCTGCTCTGTCAGGGTGCTGCTGAGTGTTTACATAGCTGGGAGGTGAACGTGTGACTGTTTGTCTTTCTGAACTGCTTAGGAGACACAGCGCTGCCCAATCTGCTGCATGGCATGGCTGAGTGGCCTGGGAAAGGAAGGGAAAGGCAGACTTTGGTGGGAGGTGTTGGGAGGCACAAAACTCCCAAAGGGAACAACAGGGACTGAGGTGTTACCAAAAAAGTCTGAACTGATATGCCAGCAATCAAACACAAGAAAACAGCATTACAGGGGACATAAACTGAAGATGAGTCTGGACACCAAAAGGAAAAGGCAGATTTGAAAGAATAACTGAACAGTTAAATTATCTTCGTAGCTCCATGAAAATACTTGGAGCCCCTCCTTGGGAGTCTTCATTTGCATCCCTAATTTCACGTGGGCAGGTTTGTGCTGCAGCAGTCCACCTGGATGGGAGCTGCTGGTGGAAATCAGCCCAGCGTTGGGTTTTGGCTGAGGGTGTGTTGAGGTGCAGAATGCACACGGCTGTGCTGTCCTTGTGCAGGAGCCAGGAGGTGTCAGAATGGGGTGCAGCATTCAGGGCTGGCCCTGTTGCTCTGAGCTCCTGCTGCCGCCCCTGTGGGCTCTGAGCATTGGTGGAGGGGCCCCATTGCTGCGGGGTGCAGGTGGTGCTCAGAAATGGGGTTTTCCTGGATTCTGGCTTGAAGGATTTTCTTCTTACACAAAGCCAAAAGCTTCCAGCCTTCTCCTCTCACCTCTCCAGCGAGGGCTGCCCGCTGCTGGAGCAGCTCAACATCTCCTGGTGTGACCAAGTGACCAAGGATGGTGTCCAGGCACTGGTGAGGGGCTGCGGGGGCCTCAAAGCGCTGTCCCTGAAGGGCTGCACACAGGTATGGGGCAATGGGACCGAGGGACAACGGCTGGCTGGTCCCTGGCTGTGGGTGGCAGGGACTTCTGCTGCTCCCTCGGGATGTGTGAGTGCCCTGCCAGCTCCTACAGCTGCCTCTTGGTTTGCACCTTGTCACATCTCAGTCTCAGCCTTGGGAAAGGAGAGCAGTGACCACAGCAGGCTGAAAGCTGCCCCAGAGCTGCTGGCAGCTCAGGTTGGGGCTGGGGTTACCTGCTGGGTAGACCTGGCAGCTGGGCCAAACTCCTCCTGGTGCCCAGGCTCTGTGTTTTGCATTTATTTTTCTCTTGGGGTGTGCATTCCTCAATCATGAGTCACTGCCATTTCCATCTGCTGCCTATAGATAAACTGCTGTAGGTACAAAAAGCGCATTTCTCCACGCAAGGACGCCGAGTCCTGAAGGGTGACCATGATAAGGGCAGCACTGACACGTGGTGTGTGCAGGGAGACACCCTCGTGTGTCACACAGACAGCAGCAAGGGCTGGAGCTGGTGGCATCTCAGCCTGTTTGCAGGGCTCAGGTCGTAGGAACAGCTTGAGTTTCTCCTCATTTACGGAGCCACGAGTAATATTGATGGCAATACATCCTCGTAATCAATTGCTTTGCCATCTGTTCTTATGGATTTAAGAATAGCAAGCTATTTTTTTTTTTTTTTTAATCATCCTTAGGAACCCTGGGTGTGTTTGTGCTCCTCAAACTGAAATAATACTCTTGATTTTTTTGAGAGCTCCCCTGTTGCCATATAGACGTGGTGTCCCTTGTGTCCCCCATTGGCGGAGCGCAGCCCACATTCCCAGGGTTTGTGACCCCACTGCTCACTTTGTTCCTGCCACGTGTGTGCCTGGGTCTGCCTCTCCCTCAGTCAGCACTGAGCTGTGGGTCTTTGCATCCATTCCTGCAGCAGTGGAAGTGGCACTGTGCTCCTCCTGTGCAGTGCACTGCCCTCCTCCCAACACAGCCCCCCCATCCCTGCATTTCTTTGTCCCCAAATCTTCCTTTGGAGGACTGCTTCAAGCATTGCAGCGTTGCTTCACTCTCTGATTTTCACTCTCTGATTTTTCTTCCCAGCTCGAGGACGAAGCTCTCAAATACATCGGTGCAAACTGTCCTGAATTGGTGACATTAAACCTCCAGACGTGCTTAGTAAGTACCACACTGTGCTCCCAGCACACGGCCGTGGTGCACACAGCTGTGCACTGCCAAACCTTTTAAAAATAGCTGATTTGAAACAGCTTTTTGGGAGTGCTCGTAAGCCCCAGGAGCAGCGCTGGGTTTGGTGGAGGAAGCATTGTTCTCCTTGCCCTGCCTGCAGGGCTGCTGAGCTCCTGTGCTGGAAGCATTCTTTCCATGGGGTTGGAATGCTGGCGGTGCTCAGCCAGCCCTGCACTGCTCCAAGAGCAGCAGATCCCTGTGCAGGATTCCAGGCAGTGACAGTGCAGTGCCAGAACAAACGTCTGTTTGCACCCAAAAGACGGTTGGGGTGGGCTGTGTGCAAACTGTGTGCCTGCTGCAGGCAGAGCAGGGCAACAGCAGGGCAACAGGGCTGCAGGGCTGGATGCATTTTGAGCTGCAGGGCTGAATGCATTTTGGGCTGCAGGGCTGAATGCATTTTGAGAAGCACAGCGTGGCATCAGTTCCGTTCCTGGTTGGAAACCCAAGAGGAAAACATGCAGCGCGGCGCATCTCCGCTCCTCTGTTATTCCTTGTGATGGTGTTGTTGTTTTTCTTGTAGCAAATAACAGATGATGGTCTCATTACAATATGCAGAGGATGCCACAAGCTGCAGTCGCTGTGTGCCTCGGGCTGCTGCAACATTACAGATGCCATCCTGAACGCCCTGGGACAGAACTGCCCGAGGCTCAGGTAAGGCCTGGCTGCAGAGCTGAGGGCTGTGTGGGGCTGCTCCGTGCTGAGGCTGCTGCTGGAGCTGCTCCTGATTGCACTGAGTCTGCTGTTGGTGCTGCTGGAGCTGGTTCTGATTGCACCAAGCTCTGCTTTCTCAATCAGAGCAGTGGGAGGAGAGCTCCGTGCCGCGGCGGTGCGCTGCAGCAGTCTGTCTTTAAACCTTTGCACGTCTGTGTCTGCTTTGTTATTTTTTTTCAATGGAAAACAGTTGAGGTCAGGTTAGTTCTGTGCTGAGAATACATTTAAACACCACTGTTTCCTCCTGGTGTGATTGAGATTTTATGGCTTTGTGCTGAAGGAGTGGGCTCCCAGCTCCGCAGCCTCTTGCTTTCTGCTTAAAACCTTTTTATCAGGGCAGGTTCCTCCTGGAGGACTTTGCTGTGATTCAGTTCTGTTCCTCCACACCCATATTTCTGTATGTTGGGGTATTTCTGTGCGTTCAGGTGTTTCTCATATCCAGGTACTGTGGGTGGGTGCTCTGAAGGCGGATCTCCACCACAGTCACTCTCCATTCTTTCTGTGCAGAATATTAGAAGTCGCCAGGTGCTCCCAGCTGACAGATGTGGGCTTCACGACTCTGGCCAGGGTGAGTGCTCCTTCATAGAAGGGGAAGCTTTGCTTCCTGCGTGGCCCTGTCTCTGAACACAGCTTTGTGTGGTGTGGGTGGGAGGCAGTGTGTGTGCAGTGTGGTGTTGTGCATCCCACACACCTCACAGCCAACTGAGGGCAACGTTGGGTGCATCACCATCACCAAATGCTGTTTGTTGTTCAGGGCTGAACAACCCTGTGTTTAACCTCCTTCTCTTTCCATGAATTAACCAAAACTCATTGAAATGAGTGACTTTTGCTGGATTTCTTCTAATGGTGTTCATTGAGAAGCAGCAAACTTTCTTTTCTCTCCTGCTATTCCGTGGGGAAAAACCTCTGCTCCTGCCGAGGGCTGTCTGTGTTTGTAGGTGTTTGGTTTTGCTGCCTGAACTTTGCACTCACTCGCTGTGTTTGCTCCTCTGTTTGTTCCCAGAACTGCCACGAGCTTGAAAAAATGGACCTGGAGGAGTGTGTCCAGGTAGGAGCTGCTGCTCTGCAGTCACACTGCTGGTTCCTCACTTACTGCACAATGGCAGCAGTGCAGAAGGGTGGTGAAAAAGCAGCAGGTTGTGTCTAAATGGAGCTTCCCTTTGAATCCTGGGCAAAAAAAGATCGTACAGAATCTGGATGAGGAAATGCTGCCTTTGTAGTTGAGTTCTTTGTATTTCGTATGACTCAGTGCTGCTGTGCCCCTCCTGGTGGAAGGGATCTGAACACCTCCTGCACTCACACACAGACATTTCAGACACAGGAGGGGTTTGGGAGGTGCAAACTGGGCATCTGTTTGCCATTGTTCCTTGGTAGGGATGGGCAAAAGGTCCTCATGCAAAGCACACAGCGTGAAGAGGCCCTGTTCTTTTTGCAGATAACAGACAGCACGCTAATCCAGCTCTCCATACACTGTCCACGGCTCCAGGTTCTGGTGAGTAGAGTGACACTCTCAGTGTTTTCTTCCACTAAACGGAGGGATTTCATGCACTGCCTGTGGGAATTTGTCTCTTTGACTTTGTGGACACGTCATGAAGAACAAAGCTGAACACCTGACCCTTAGGAACCCGTTGTCCCTCTGCTGCTGCTGCTGGCAGTAGTTGGCCTCCAGGCACCCACAGCTGCCAGGCAGTGAGTTCTGGGATGCTGGGTGCTCCTGGTAGGGTTTTCCCCACCTGTTCAATAGGAGCTGTCCCTAAGGTGGACGTCAGTCTGTCTGGAGGAACAGAGCCCTTCTCACCTCTAACACAGCTGGGCGCCTGAGGGCTGCAGAGCTCACAGGCTCCGGAGAGCAATGCTTCTCCTGGGCTGTGTTTCTGGGAGTTGAGTCTGTCTCCATCTCTGTTCCCCCTCCTCCCCCCACCCCATGAGCTCTGCCTCGTTGCCATCGTGGTGGAGGGCACAGGGTGCAGCACGTGGGCTCTCCCCTCAGCTGTGCCCCTGCAGAGCTGTGGGCTGATGCCATCCCCAGCTCAAGCCCTGCTTCCTTTCCCAGGACCTTTAGGACGCAGCCCCCAGAAGTGCACAAAGCAGGTGACGTTCTATTTCTGCAGGTGTTTAGAGCCATGGCTATGATGTGCAAGGCCACAGAGATTTTACAAAGCTGGTTTCTTTGATAGCAGAGGTATTTATCCCATTCCTTGCAGTAAGTGCCTGCTGCCCTCTCTCCTGGGTCTCTCCTGTCACCGCCTCTCCACTCCCCTTCAGCCACACAAATTCCCCCTCGCAGGCGCTGCTGCGTCACCTGGAGCTTTGCAGCGGCTCCGGCGCGCAGAGCGAGCCCAGATCTGTGCCAAACACCCACGTGTGCTTACAGAGCACTGGCCAGCTTCTCTCTCATCCCCAGTGCCCCCCAGCAGAGCGTTGGCTGCCTCTTGCCGGGGGCTCACAGCCTGTGTTTGGGTGCAGAGTTTGTCCCACTGCGAGCTGATCACGGACGATGGCATTCGCCACCTGGGGAACGGCGCCTGCGCCCACGACCGCCTGGAGGTGATCGAGTTGGACAACTGCCCCCTGATCACCGACGCTTCCCTGGAGCACCTGAAGAGTTGCCACAGCCTGGAGAGGATAGAGCTGTACGACTGCCAGCAGATCACGCGGGCGGGGATCAAGAGACTCAGGGTAGGAGTGTGAGGCTGGAGCTGGGCGGCTCGGAGGCTTCTGGGGGGAAGAGAGAGGGCTGTGGCGTGGGATTCTTTGTGGTCTGCTGGTGCTCTGGTGGATACCTTCTTTAAAGTATCCTGAGAGCCATCACCTGCAAAATGCATGGCAGTCCTGCGTTCAGAATGTGGGATGAGCCCTAACTCATGTGTGATTGGAAAGAAAGAAATCACTGAATCGTTAAGGTTGGAAAAGATCTCTGAGACCCCCACGTCCAACCCACCCCCTCCATGCCACGAACCACAACCCTCAGTGCCACATCCCCACAGTGCTGGAGCATCTCCTGGGACAGTGACCCCCCCCTGCCCACCCCCTGGGCAGTCTGTGCTGGTGTCTGAGGCAGTCTGTGCTGGTGTCTGCCTGCTCTTTGGGGAAGAAATTGTTCCTAAAGTCCAACCTGACCCTCCCTGGTGCATCGTGAGGCCATCTGCTCTCATTCTACACCTGTTGCTCTGCCTGCTCAGTGGTAGCAGGAGGCAGAGGGGACTCAGTGTGCAGTGCCATTCCACGAGCACTCACCCCTGGCAGTGCTTTTGGAGACCAGGGCTGTGTGTCAGCACCCAGCAGTGCAGCACAACACTCCTCACCGTGCGCCGCACCCTGTGCTGTGACACTCATACAGCTCACAGCGATTGAACCAAAACCACCCAGCTCTGCTGTGCAGGAGGGTTACCTGCTGCTGATGCCGTTGCTGCTGTCCCTTCATCTGCTGTGTTTCTCTTCCAGACCCATTTACCCAACATTAAAGTCCACGCCTACTTCGCGCCGGTGACACCACCTCCGTCGGTCGGGGGCAGCCGACAGCGTTTCTGCAGATGTTGCATCATCCTATGACACTGGAAGCAGCCATCCCTGCAAACTGAGTATTTAATTACACCTCTAGAGTGATGGTGGACAGCTGTACCTTCGAGGAGGGCGATGCAGTGTCGTTTGCAAGGGGCAGCCAGCGGGCAGCAATGCCAGCCCCTGTAGCCACCCATACGCATCCATATTCACACCCCACCTGTTCCAGGATGAACTCTGCGGTCTGGAGCTGGAGCTCTGTTGGCTTTTCTGTAGGTGGATTGGTATCATTCTGAACCATTCCTGCTGGGCATGCTCAGACGAAGTCATTGCAATGAGGAGGGGAGATGTTTGCAAACCCAAAACGACTGTTGCTGCTGTAGAGGTTAGAGAAGTAATTGCAACCCTTGGAAATAGGGAGAGAAAGGGACGTGCTTTATCCCTGCATCCGTTGTCCAGGTGAAAAAACAAAAAGGCAAAGAAACAAACTGACAGCCCCCAAGCTGTGTGTCCGTTTCTGAGTGAGGGGATGGAGGAGCAGCAGCGTGTGAGATGTGAGCCCCCCTGCTGACCCCCTGAGCATGCTCACATCGGAGGTTCAGCTGTTGCTTCTGTGTCCCATAGCATCCAGTTCAGAGGCTGCGGAGGTGGTTATGCTGTAGCTTGGGATCTGTACCATCAGGCTCTGGTTTTGCCCTTCCCACACCCCACTTTTTGGTTTTTGGTTGTTTTTTTTTTTTCCCTTCTTCTTTTTTCTTCCTGATTGTTATTTGGTAACTTTGAGATTTACCAAATCAAAAAAAGTTTAGGGAAACCCATTTAAATTTTTTTTTTTTTTTTTTTTTTAACTGCTGGCAGCCTGAGCCTGCAATGAGCTGATGGAAAAACTGATTGGAATTCCAGGTTTTCTCCCAGTGATGAGAACGTAACTCTTTGCTGTAGGGGACAAGCTATAGCCTCTGCTCCAGCGCTTCTGCTGCCCTTTCCCTCCAATCCCTCACCCCCTTCCCGTGAGGAAAATAAACACAGAACCTTTTTGCTGGTTGTCCTGGTCAAGAGCTGCTGACTCTCTGTGCCCGTGGAGCAGGAGGAGCAGCAGGGCCAGCCGCAGCTCGTCGCCGATCGCTGTCCTGTTGTGCAGCAGCGCTGGGCAGTTCTGCTGCATTGCCCACAGGTAAGTGCTGCCCTGGAAGAACCACCTGGAGGCAGAGAGGCTGCACTGTGCCCCTCGCAGCAGTCGGGCTGTGCTGGGAGCAGTGGTGGTTTGGGTGAGGTTGATGCAGGGGCAGAACGCAGGGGTGCCATGGGGCAGAGCATGGCCAGAGCAGAGCAGGTTGGTGGGGATGAGCTGAGGGGTCCATCACGGCTCTGTTCCTGCTGCCTGCATCCCGGGATGGAAGGGAGAGGGCACATTTATGGGATGGATCTCACCTGAGAGGAGCGGGTCTGGTAAGCAGCTGAGCTGCCCACAGCCCTGGGAGCGGGGCTTCACCTTCCTGCTGCAGGTTGATATGGGAGGGCTGCCTGTGTGGCCCCAGGGGTTGCAGCTTTTGGCTGCGGGTTTGCCCTGAGGACAGAGCCACCCCAAGGGCTGTACAGCAGCTGTCTCCCCTTCCCCTCCAACTCAGATTCCCCGACCCGTCGGTGCGCATTTAACGCCTCGCAGATGCACTGACTGGTGGGAGGAAACCCAACGTATGCTGTGTTTAAAAGGATACTGTCAATTCCTTTCCTATAGATGGCTTTTAATGCATTCTATTTATTCATATCCGTGGATTCTCTCTCCTCGGTGAGCATGCTCCTATACTTCACCTGCAGAACTCCTTCCTCCAGTTTTCAGGGTGGCAGATGATGGCCGAGGGGTCCCACCAGTGATGGGTGTTGGTTTGCACAGCTCTGGCAGAGCACTCAGCTCATGCTGAGGCACAAGAGAGCCAAAACTGATTTATGAGCCAGGGTGTGGTTGACGGACTGATTTCTTTTAACAGGTTTGAGTTTAAGAGATAACTCAGAGTATAGAACCCAAAGCTTTGTTTGTTTTCAAACAGGGTAACAGCGTAAGGTAGCTCAAACTACTTGACAGTGTCCTTTTAAGTCAATTATCCGTCTCTAAATGGACTCTTCCTTATGTTTGTATTTATAAATAAATACCAATAAAGACCATTTTCCAAACCTTGTCTTACTGGAGGAACATCCTTATAAAGCAGAAAAGCCTGCGTGCAGTGGCAGCTCGCCGTGCTGGGATCAGAGCTGCAGCAAGGTGAGGGGTGGAACTGGGGTCCAGCATTAAGGGAACAGCTCTCAGTGTTGTGAAGGGTCTGCATTTTGTTCTCAGCTGTTCTCTGCCACCTGCCCACTGCTTCACAGCCCCATCTCATGTGGAGCAGACCCAGCACAGAGCTGGGCATCAGCAGTTCATCCCCAATCCAACCCCAGAGAAGAAAACAAACAGGTGGGAGTTATTTCTGGATGTGCTTTATTGAGTCCTCGTGGATGGAAAGCACTATGTACACAAGCCAGCCACTGTTCACTTCTTGGTCTCTTCCTCCTTAGAGAGGGTCTTGATGATTTCCTCCTTCTTGGCTTGCAGGCGTTCCTCACGGCGCTTCCGAGCCTCCTTGGTTTTGGACCTGCGAGCCTCAGCCTGGTCACTGCAAGAAGAGTTTGTGAATGCCTGGGGTTTGTTCCAAACAGCCCAGAGAAAGCCTTCCCTGCCAGCCCTGCTCTCCTCGCTCCACTGGTCTGCCATGCCAGCTGCTGAGCCGGGCAAGCCGTGCTCCACGTGCAGCTCCCTGCACTGCTGGGTGCAGCACAAAGCTGCTCCTGCCCCCCACCACTGGGAGCCTTGAGAACCAATGACTCACAGCTCTCCTTATCAATCATTTACTATGGCTGCATCACTGGGTCAGTTTATAGCAGTATGAGCAATTTGGTCTGCCAGGATTACGTGCATCTCTGCTTCAAGCCAGCCCTACCCAGCTTTGTTTTGATTCTTCACCAGGGTTCTGGGTAGAGCCACCCCAAATATCTGCGTGCGCTTCCTTAAAAACAACTGCTTCCCCAGCCTGCAAAATGGAAGTGTGACTTACGCCAAGAGCTTCTTGCGAGCTTTGTCTGCCTTGAGCTTGTGGATGTGCTCCATCAGGATCCGCTTGTTCTTGAACACGTTACCCTTGACCTTCAGGTACAGGCTGTGGTACCTAAAGGAGCAGAACGGATCGTGAGTGCTGTGACAGCAGCTGACCCCCAAGCTCTGAAGCTGCTGCAGTGGCACAGGCAATGGGACCGACTGTAGGAGTACAGGGGCTAAGCTGTGCTTTCTGGAGAGGATCTGTTTCCATCACCAAGCTCTACGCCAAGGAGCTGGCTGAGAAGCTGCACATAGCAGGAGCCAGGTAAGCACACGCACACATTCCCCACTGCCTGCCCACCACCTGAAGCTGCAGGCTGGCCTGGCAGACTCACATGTGGCGGTCGATCTTCTTGGACTCCCTGTATCTGCGGAGCAGGCGCCTGAGAATCCGCATCCTCCTCATCCAGGTCACCTTCTCTGGCATACGAGCGTTGGCTGTACCCTTTCTCTTACCTAGGGAGAGAGAAAACATGGTAAGAAGGTGGCCTGGCTTCTGCTCGCGTCCAATCCTTCTCTTTACTTCAGGAACAGGATTATTCAAACTCTGCCCCACACAAGGCTGTGGGTGCAGCACTGCCTTCAGCTCTCACCGATGCCCATGTGCCTGCCCTTCCGACGGGCCAGGGTGTTCTTCCTGCATCGTGCCCGAGAGTGAACGGTCACAGGTTTGCGGATGATCAGACCATCCTTAATTAACTTCCTGATCTGCTGACCTGGAAGGAAAAACAAACCAAAACAAACCACGCTCAGTATTTCGCTCAGTATTTCACGTGAATGAGGCTGCGTTAAGCCAAGTGCGGGCTGTAATCTGTTTGTGTAAGAAGGAAAACCCCCAGCCCCCCTCGTGCTGCTGCTGCTCTTTCCCCATCATCCCATGTTTTCCTTATTAGTCACCCAGGAAAGCACCACGCACTGACCCACACTGCGAGGGCATGGAGGAGCCCAGTCAGCTCCAAAACACAACGAACCACAGAATTCAAGGGGTTGGAAGGGAACCTCCAGAAATCATCGCGTCCAACCCCTGCAAAGCAGCTCTACGGCAGCACCGGTGGGTCTGGAATATCTCCACAGAAGCAAAACCCGCGGCGTCCCCGGGCAGCCATCAAACAGCTCCACCTCAGCCAGCATCAACGACACCAAACGAGCACAAAACCCCCCCTCGCGTCCCCGCCCGCCCCACTCACGCGAGTTGGCGTTGGCGATCTCGTTGGTCTCGTTGGGATCCAACCACACCTTCTTCTTCCCGCAGCACAGCACGCTGGAGGCCAGGCGCTTCTGCAGCCGTAGCATACTGCGGGCGGCGGGCGGGCGGCTCAGCGCTCGGCGCCGCGCTGCCTCCCGTTGCGACGCAGCCGCCCCGTTTCCCATCCCTCGCCGCCATTTCCCCCCCGTTCCTCCTCCTCCTCCTCCTCCTCCCCACCGCCATTTTCCCCCTTATCCCCGCGATGTGCGAAAGATGGAGCAGCACCGGCCGCGTCCCCCGCCCTGAGGCCGCCGAGCCCCGGCCCGTTCCCGTCCCCATCCCCGTCCCCGGTCCCCGCTCGCCGCTCCCGGCGGCGCACATCGCTCACCTCATGGCGGCGGCTGCGGCCGAGCCGGGCGGAAAGGACTGCGCACGTGGCCGCGCCCACCGCCAGAGCCGCGGGGAGCGGAACGTACCACCGCCGTACCGCCCCGAAACAACGCGGCTCTGCGGCCTCACGGCGGATCGAAACGCGGCGAGAGAAACGCCGAGTCCCGCTCGCGGGTGGGAAGCGGGGAGGGAGCGCCGAGCCGCACTCGAGGAGCTGGGGAGGCGGACGCGCGTCACCTCGCACCCCC